TGCAGCATTGTCATTGTCAATTTTAGCTCAAATTCCAAGTTGTATACTAATCAACTGCAAATCATCTAATATATAAACTGTCCTGTTTTCGGGGTTTTGACTTGGGGTGGCTGTCTGGGTGAGGGACGAGAGAGACATACATATTATTGTCTTTGTTCGCAAACCCTGGTATTAAAACTGAAAAATAACAATAAAATCGACAAGACTTAGTGCAGAATAAGTTCTTTTATTTTCATAGAAAAATATAATACATGTTTCAGAAATGTTTCAAAAAAATAAATGCGACCCCTAGAAAACGTCCAAAGCGACAAAAATTGAAAATGTTGCAGGCTCGGTTTGATTTAGCCTGTTCATGGACTTCAGTGTAAATCTTAACAAGTTAAGACAAGAAAATGGTCATGAGAGAAAAAATTCACATCGATACAATTATATCTCATAGCAAACTCATTTCTCTGTTTCTCACATTCTCATAAAACTTAATCTAAAAATCCAATTCATAAAAGGTTTGTGTTGTTCAAACTGTTATATTTCTGCAGCGATTTCAATGGTCGTTAATGATAAACACCAATTACAGATTCGCATATAGTAACAACTAGGGACATCCAAAAACAAGAGCGACGCGATAATAAGACCACTTCCACATCGGTCCAAAAGTGGTCTTAATAGCGAGACTAAACTTTTGTACCGATGTAAATGGTTTCTGTACAAAAGAAGTATCTTATTCTATATCGAATGAAAAATCGGTTAAAATCTTATGATTATTTGTAAGTTATGAAAGTGTAATAAACATAAATTGATTTCAATAGACTGATGCGACTTTTTTCTTATATAATTAAAGTTCATGTTGCAATGTGTATGGTATGTCCTTTCTATGTCTGGATGTCTTTAACTCGCAATTAGCACAGAATCAAACATAAAACGTCTCAGCATTACAAGTTGGTATTCCTGAAATAAACTCTCTTAAAAATCTTTCAAAATAACAGTTAAAACGTAAATTATCTTAAATATGTGTAAGCTGAAACCAAAAGTCATAAAATGTATAATGAAAAAAAGAAATAGTTTGGCATTGTTTTCTATTTCAGTTACAAAATTCGTCATTGAAAACATAGATATTCAACTCTTAGATTAAATCAATACTTCAGTGATGATAAAACACAACAAAATGAACACATTTGATAATTACATATTTGATAGAAATAAAAGAAATAAAATGTTCTTCTCGTTGTTTCTTCATATTTCAAATGTTCTTTGTTTTCTTTTACACTTTAGCTACCAGGAAGGAAAGAAGTAGGACGAAAGCACTGAATGTAATAGAAGAGGAACTGTTGTCACAGACGTCCTTAACTGTAGCAGATAGGTTTGTCGTCCCAGTGTTAGTAGGATTTGCATCATCTGTAGCTGTTACTTCAAGGTCATATGTCGCCAGCGCACTTTTGTCTAAGGTGATTCCTGCTGCAACTTGTATTAGTCCTGACGTAGGATCAATTTTAAAAGCAGTCCCAGTGTTACCATCTTAACATAATGAAACAGAAGAGATGGTTATATTATGATATTACATTTCGTAGGCCATGTAGATATATCAATACCAATTAGCCTATTAGTTTTCTTTAGCTCTTGATTTCATTTCAGGATTGTTTCACAAATAATAATCTTGATTGACATCTGTATTGGGCGACCACGTTTTTTTATAAATATAAAAACTTAGATAAAAATCTTATCCGGAATAGTTTACCTTTTTTACTTTAATCTAATCTATTAAGAGGTAAGGGAATTGAGAAGGAAGACGATATAAACATGAAAGAAAAAGACAAGGAATTTAAATTAAGTTTTTATCTTTAAGGTTTTTGGGCAGGTTTAAAGACTGTAGGAAAACGTAAGAAGATAATCAAGTTATCGAATTTATTTTATTTAAATTCAATAAAATGTTAACGTATTTATTTTTCACGATATACATTATTGCCCGCAAATAGAGCGATATTTAGGTACTCGTGAAAAACAAACACACTGATATACGGTACCTTCAAATAGATGAGGATATCTCATTTAAAAAAGCGTTCTGTTTGATTATATCCTATGTAAGGAAATGAAATCTTCCCAAATATATAGTCTGAACATGCAACCTTTAACATTCTGAGGGTTAACAAAACTTGATGTTTGTAAGATATTCATACTTGTAATAGAAACATTTTCAATAGTCATTTAAGAAAATTAAAACGTTCTTAATATCGACATTAAATGTCCATTTCATATAAGTAGAACTTGATTTCGATCTTAAGAGAACACGTGAAACCTTTCATTACATATCGAGATAATGTGACAGCTCCATCTCTCGTTTTGCTATGAAACATAATTTAAAAAAGTTAATCAGTGGACATGAAATACTGAGCTTAAAACCAAGGTATCATTGCTTTGAGTATCGGAAAGAGATGTCATTTGGTATCGTATTATATATTAAAGACAATAAAAGTACACTTCAAGAGGTCAGCAAAACAGTTGACTTGACGACTATAAATAAGCATACACACTTAGGTGACATAACATAATGTGCCGCCTAAACTACTGAAAAAAAATCGAAACTAATGAAGGAATATCACCAGATAAGTAATGGCGAGTCATTTTAATATGTAAAAACTAGCTTGTACAAATCCTACACATGGCCGCAAACACTTGCGTTACTTACCAGTAATTGAATATGTAGCTATGGTGGCACCATTTTTGGGAGTGGCTGTAACTGTTGTCAAAGTTGCATCTAAATTAAAATAGAGAATTACCTTAGCATTATCTTGTCTGAGCACCATAATTTGTCAAAAAGATATATGTTGGTAAATTTATTGTTTAAGAGAACAATTATTAAGAAGCGAACAAAAAAAACAAACACTTTATAGAAATTGATTGGAAAAAAAACAACTTTGCAGGTAGATAAAATTAATTATAGATTCTGTGTCAATTGATAAAATAGTGAAACTTTTAATCAAATATACATTTACTGAATTTAATTTTTCAACTGTGCAACACTTGAAGAACTAAATAATACCCTCTTGTGAACCGTCAAGTATGCATGGAGTATACGCGGTTGAGAATACTGGAGGAGTGTCAGCCACATCTGTAACAGTAACTGCGATTGTTGCAGTTCCAACACCCCCGATATTATCTTCAGCTCTAGACAAAATGAAATGTCAGCAAAATGTTAAGATAAAACAACTTTGCTGCTATGATCGCCAAATGAATGATTATTGGTTGATTTCAGTTAATGTTTTCATAATATCAGATTATATGTAACTTCACAACTCAATCTTACTCACTTCCTTTAGTTTAGATGACAGACTGGAAGTTCTTCAGACTTTCTTATTTTAAAGACAAATGGATAGGGTTTAAATAAAGAAAATAAACAATATACTCTTTACCAATTCTTGAAGGGATTTCAAATGCATGGACAGATAACTCAAAACCAGACAGCTGATCTCTTTTCACTTTTTTGCTTAACAATATGCCGTCATAGTTTTACATCTTAGAATCTGTAGGTTTTGCTTTGAATTTATTTACATTTTTTTTAAAAAGAAACATATTGTAAATAAAAGTATATAAATATAAGTATAGAAGTACGAACTTGACTTTTAAAGTGTAAGATGTCACTGTTTCAAAGTCCAATGCAGCTGTTATTGTCAGCCCACCAGCCGCTGATAAAGCAAATGGAGTAACAGCTGTTACAAGAGAGTAGGATGCAATAGAAGTAGCATCAGTAGTGGCCACGTATGTCACGATCATTGTATTGAGTGTCTGATCTTCTGGAATAGTAGTTGTTCCTGGTCCATCTGCCCCGCTTATTGTTGGCTCTGTCCAACCGTCAATTGCTGCATCTGTTTGAGATAATGTTATATGTGTTTTAATAATGTCCCATTTTAGTCAAATTTTATTGTTTTCTTAGTGAAAATATATGTAAGGGCTTTTTTAATGTGTCAATTAGTTAAAAAAAAGATGTTTCTAAAATAGAATAAGAGTTAACTTATTTCCGATTATGTGATGTTCTTTAACAGTTTGCCCAAGACAAGTGTTAGAAATTATTTCACAATAGAAAAATAGTCTTATGGTAAGGTTGACACATTCCTTTAAATGAAAATGGAAATTAAACGCAAATTTTGAATAAGTTTAAATCAAGAAAATCACTAATCATTGATCTAACTATTCCTTTGCGCTTAACTTAAATGTTTCTTATACTTAGCTAAACAAGTTCATAATATGTAAACAACATAAACTGTTCTCATATAACTTTAAAATATGATGTTCAGATAAACTACTGGAATAAAAGATTTAAACCAGTTGACATGTGTCAGAAAGTAATGATTAAATGAAAGTATGAAAATAACCTTATTTGATATTGTGCTATTTAACTAATAGATTTCTTTTAACATTATACTAACAAGAATAATACCTATGTTACTATATTTAATGACAAAATCTTTGGTATTTCAAGGCCATGATGGCAAGATCTAGGGCATTATCTTATTTTGGTCGTCTTGCTACTCGGCATTATTTTTCAATAATGAGCGCAAGTGCAAAATGACATAATCAACTCTCAGTGACTTTAAAAATGATTCAATATCAACTTAATTTCTAGGCCAGGCAAAGAAAAAGCTGAACAATTTATGTATTGGGCAGGCTAGAATTAACATGAGTGTCCATCAATAAGTTTTAATCTTATCTACACTTAAAATAAAAGAGTACTAAGACCCTTAATTCTTAGTTAAATATTCATTAAGATTCTTCTGAGTCATAGTATGTAATATTATGTAATAATTTTATTACCTGTTGTAGCCGTTAACCAAAATTACAACAAATCAAACAACTAAACATAAAGTAAACTCACATTTTAACTTCTCTTGAATTGTCATTATAATAAAATATTTTTGAATCTTTTTAAACAATATTATTTGTGCGACAAATGTCTTTTTACGTTGATTTTGATTCGTGATATTGCAACAGAATATTTTGTTTCGAAAATTTAATACAATCATTATCTAAGTAATTGATTGACTGTATCTTCTACAATTTAGTAAATAATTATATCATTATCCATCTGAGATGTTTTAAGAAAATTACATTTTTTTGCAAATTCATTTTCAACTGAAGAACAATAAGAGAACAGTAAATTTTATTGCTTGCTAAAGGCAGTAACTGAATATAAATGTCCATGCTTTATGAGCAGTCATCATTTATACACAGAAAAGATATTGATTTCAAATGAAGCTTAAATTTATTCATAAAGTTACTTACATCCATTCTCCAAAGCACTGAAAAATACCAAAACGATAACTGAAATCCAAGTCCTTTTCATTTCGATTTTTTTCTAACAAAAAACAAAATTATGCGTTGAATTTCATATAATTGTGTCTTTGTCATAAAGAAAAAATCCTGTAACTAATCCAAAATTACTCATTACGCTGAGCTTATATCCCAAAAGATAACGTTCCCAAAAGTTCAATCTTTCAAATCAGCCAATCAGTATCGAGCCATTTAATCTTCAGATCTGAAAACAAACATAATGGGTGTTATGTTTTAGAATCTCACACAAATCAATGTAAATATTCTTAAATCAAGCAATTTGAAGACATTATTCTAATACTGTCTAACAAAAATGCTTATTTGATATTGATTAAAATTGACACACTTTTTAACGTTCTTTTTGGTGCTTTTTAATTGTATATCTTCTGTTTTACATTAAGGTGTCGTGTAGCTTTATATCTCTCATATTTTGCGTGAACTGCACTTGCATTATCGTGATCGTAGAAACTAATTGCGTGCTTGTAATATTTACCTCCTATATTTTTTTAAGCTACCTTGTTGTCCGATTTATTCCAATAAAATTTGGTTTCCTGAATTTGAACCACCTTTGTTTAAGTAACAGAAAAAGGTCGTCTACTTTCTTTTAGATCAACCTTCGCAACAGTAACACAATTCTGGCGTATTTCTTTGATATACTTTAATAATGAAGCACAACAATTTGGCTGTTAAAGGAACAATTAATGTATCAACGCCACCTGTTACAACTGATACTGAAAAAAGGAGAAACCATTTTTTTTTTAATTTTGTCTTTGAATTTAAGGATTTGAACACGCTAGTAATTAATACACGCTCAAATTGCTAAAATGATCATAACAAATACTGGGACATTAGACAGCATTTTAACGTGCAAACTAACTTTTCATATAAGTTTGAAGCTCAAAATCGTTTTGTATCGCGTTTATCCCATTCCATTTTAAAATCATGTGCTTGTGTGCCTAAAATAATGCAGGGAGGTGCGTCCGAAGTCTTCTTCCACCGGTAAAGCTGGAAAGTCTCCATATGGTATTCAACGTAATGGTGCGACATAAATCATACCAAAGAATTATTTAAAAGTCTACTGACTAATGAACTTTTTGATATAAAATCGAACGGCAAAAAAACTGTTTGCAATGTGTTAAACTGAACATAATTGAACATTTGAAAGTTTGTTGACTTCCCAACCACAAAAAGTGAAAATCAAAATATTTTTGTATTTTCTTAAAATTAATAAAATTTCTGCCACCGTAACAAAGAAAATATAAAAATTGCGGAGTTAAGGATCGAAATCATGTGTTTTAAGGGAAAGTACCGACTTGAATGTTTCTGGTTTGGTTTAACGTCGCACCAACTTAACAGAGGTCAGTCATATGGGGGCTTTCCAGCTTTACTGGTGGCGGAAGACCTAAGGCACGACCGTAACTTGAGTAGAACCACGGACGAAAACAGTTTTGAAAAACAAATTCTAATATGCTGATAACGTTAAAAAGTTGGAGACTTTGTAAACATATTGTGGATTATGTCATGATGACGTTGCGAAATTTGATATGATAAATACCATGCAAGGTTATCTGTGAAAAAAGGGAGCGGGGTGCAAAGTAATGTATTGATACTTTTTTTTTTAGAAAAAAAAATAGATTTATTGCAAATGATAAATCATAACATCGTATTATCGCTCAAAAGTAATTTCAAGACACTGGTACCAATAGTACAAAAACAATAAATTATAAACGCAACCAAACCCGATATTGCAAAACAAAATATAAATCATATTTAAAAAAACAAAACATCTTTCTTTTTTGTGCAAAACTTTGGTCCGGATTATTGTAAACAGAAACAGTCACGATAGTCATAAATTATAAAGGAACAAATACAGATCTAAATTACTAATGTAAGAGGGGCAGCGTCTAAACACAAGTGTTTTAGTATATTTATGGCTCGTTGACACTGCCATAACTTATTTTATCATGCTGTCATGTGACAATGGAGTGGTTGAGAAATAGGGGGACATACCCAAGCCAGATTTGAAAGGATACTAAAGAGATTTTACAAAGGGTGTAAAATGTTATTCGGAAATAATAATAAAACATGCTAACACTTTGTAATTGTCTTCCCCTACAGATTTGTTTTGCACAAGTCGAAACAGAGACTTAATCTTCTAAAATCGTTTTTATCTATTTGTTTATAATAGATGAAACAACTTGTAAAATTTAGCATTCACCAGTGTTATTTATTTTACTGTACAGTTCATAATAAGTTATCAAGAAAACAAGTTTTTTACCATTTTATCAATCTGCTTTCAAAGCAAAATGCCTACAGATTCATGCTAATTTTCATGAAAACTTGAAAAAATGAATAAAAAAGTAATGTATTGTCAAGTGAACAAAGAATGTACTTTACACATTGCAAATGGCACTTTCAATTCACGTAAATTACCAAATAAAGTTAAAAATATGCAAAAAAACTAGCTGCGTTAGTCATCGCAGTCACACAGTAGAAATATGGTGATTAATACTTCAAGATTACTCGTTTTTTGCACTACATGTAAATCACTACTTTAACGATGAAATTTTTTCTAAAAAAATTAAATTTTTTTAAAAAATTTTTTTTGGCTAAATTGGGGGGTTATTTTAGTTTGAATTTATGAAAAAATTGAAAAAATTTTAAAATAAAATTTAAAAAAAAAGGATGGAAAAACAGAAAAGTTTATACGGGAAAATTTTTAAGTTTTTTTTTTTTTAAACCATATTTATAAAAAAATTTTTTTTGAAAGCAAATGAGAAAACAAGTTATTTCTTTTTATTTTTTTTCCCTTTTGGGGCCAAAACGGGGTTTTTTTGGTGCCCAATAAAAAATTTGGGAAAATAAAAACTTTTTTTAAACAAAAACCAACTTTTTAAAATGGAAAAAGATTTTTTCCCCACATAAAAATCCCCCAAAAAAAAGGGATTTGGAAATTTGGGTAAAAAAATTAAAAAAATTTTGGTACTTTTTTTTCCCCCTAAAATGTTAATTTTTAATATTTTAATCAATAATTCATTTGAACCACAAAAAAATCTATTAATATCGTTTACCAGACATCGGTATTTTTTGATTAGGTTGATTTAATCCTAAACTTCTTTCACCATCAATTATTGGTCAATAGCCAATCGCCATTATCATATTGCTAATTCAACTACATTTGATACCGAAAGAAATAGCATAATGTCACTAAAACATAGTTTTTGCATACTATGTATAAATGTTTTGAATGCTAAAGGTGACTCCAAAACTGTTCTTAACCTCTGAATGTTCATTTCGCCTTGTTGTTTAATCTAACAAAGTAATAAAAAAACCTTCAAGAAGCATGTTTAAATTAAAACTTAAGTTTGTAATTATTCACTACGAAAGCCTAATAGTGTCAAATAAAATAAAAAAATAAAAATGCAAAGGCGTTATAACGCGAATAAAGGCGTTATTACGCGAATCAAAAGGCGTAATAACGCGAATAAAGGCGTTATAACGCGAATCAAAAAGCGTAATAACGCAAATAAAGGCGTTATAACGCGAATCAAAAGGCGTAGTAACGCCTTTATTCGCGTTATTACGCGAATCATAAGGCGTAATAACACGAATAAAGGCGTTAAAACGCGAATCAAAAGGCGTAATAACGCGAATAAAGGCGTTATAACGCGAATCAAAAGACGTAGTAACGCCTTTATTCGCGTAATAACGCGAATCAAAAGGCGTAATAACGCGAATAAAGGCGTTATCACGCGAATCAAAAGGCGTAATAGCGCGAATAAAGGCGTAATAACGAGAATCAAAAGTCGTAATAACGCGAATAAAGGCGTAATAACGCAATCAAAAGGCGTAGTAACGCGAATAAAGGCGTAGTAACGCGAACCAAAAGGCGTAATAACGCAAATTAAAACGCATTATAATGCTAATTTAATACCATATTTATACTCATCAAATTGCCTAGTAACGCGACCAATAGTGATCTGAATTTATTGCTCAAGATATAAACAGAATAATACAATATACATTTACAATAACTATCATTCCATTTGCACAGTAATATTGCAAACTATTTGTCATAAACTAATGAAGACTCTTTAATATTTGCCAATATAAGATGACTTTGGTGACTTATAGGTCCATTGGACTGGACTTAAATAAAGTTACTCTGAATTCACATATCACATTCATTGATTTTAAACACGTCACTATAGTAAATGAATTTCTTTTCTTATCTTTTCTTTTCTTTTCTTATATCTTATTGTATCTTATATGTGCGTCATATGTTCATTTATCTACGAATATGCGTTATAACGCAAATAAAGGCGTTAAAACACGAATTGAAAGGCGTTACAACGCGAATTAAAAGGCGTAATAACGCGAATAAAGGCGTTACAACGCGAATTAAAAGGCGTAATAACGCGAATAAAGGCGTAACAACGCGAATCAAAAGGCGTGGTAACGCCTTTAATCACGTTATAACGCGAATCAAAATACGTAATAACGCGAATCAAAGGCGTTATAACGCGAATAAAGGCGTTATAACGCCAATTGAAAGGCGTAATAACGCGAATAAAGGCGTTATAACGCGAATTGAAAGGCGTAATAACGCCTTTTTCGCGTAATAACGCGAAAAAATATGCGTAATTACGCGAATCAAAGGCGTTTTAACGCGAATAAAGGCGTTATAACCCTGATTGAAAGGCGTAATAACGCGAATAAAGGCGTTATAACGCGAATTGAAAGGCGTAATAACGCCTTTATTCGCGTACTAACGCAAAACAATATACGTAATTAAGCGAATCAAAGGCGTTATAACGCGAATAAAGGCGTTATAACGCGAATCAAAAGGCGTACTAACGCGAATAAAGGCGTTATAACGCGAATCAAAAGGCGTAATAACGCGAACCAAAAGGCATAATAACGCAAAACAAAAGGCGTTATAACGCTAATTTAATACCATATAAATTCCAAACAGTGGCCTAGTAATGTATGGAAGGAAGAACAATGTTGATTTAAATGAATTGATCTAGATGTACGTTTTATTATATGCCCTAAGGAATTTCGGGTCTGTCCGTCCGTCGGTCTGTCCATCCATCCGTTAGCAATTTGGTAATACGTTATGACCTA